TTTTGTTGACTTTCAGACATCTGTTTTCCAGTAATCTGGAACAGAGGTCTCATGTTCCACTGTTGTTGGCCCCTTTCTGGCACAATCTTGTTTGTAGTTGACCACACAGAATATTTTCTTACTTAACTGGGCACCATGGTGCACACCTATAGTTTCAGCTACTTGAGAGGCTGAGGCAAGAGAATTTCTTGAGCCCAGGAGTTCAAGTCCAGCTTGGGCAACATAGCAAGATCATTTCTCTGTTTTTGTTTTTGTTTTTTTTTTTTAATTATCTAGAGCAAATAAGAAAAGACTACTACGCTGTCCATAAAACAGGAATCTGAGGTTAATCTTAATATTGTAGGATTACCTTCCCTAGCCTGGGAATTTACTGTTTCTAGCACTTTGGGATGATTGGTCTGGTCAAGGTAAAACTTGGGCCAACCCCATGATAAACCAATTAAAACATGATAAAAGTTTTGTTTAGGATGAATATTGTTCTAGAAAAGAGTATCTGTCAAATTACTTGTTGGACAGTGTTAAGTACTTGCATCAGTAGACTGATAGGGAAAAGTAAAAGAGATGTCAAGTGATTCTTCTCAAGAAAGATGGAGACTGATTATATAAATACATGAAGCAAAAGGAGACTTTTGGGAAAAGACATTAGTCTTAAGAACAACAGAGATGAGATGATATTTTATATTAACTTAGGTTGGCCTAAAGAGTTTAAATTAGGAATCCAATATATTGAATTACAGTATCATTGGCGTAATTGCTATTGGCTGTATTGAATCTGTATGGACCTGCAGCAACCCCAATTCTTGCCTCCTCAGAAGAAAGAATTCAACTGAGGGGCATAAGGCAGGAGTGACCAAGACAAGCTTCAGAACAGGAGTGAAAGTTCGTTAAAACGCTTTAGAACAGTAAGAAAAGGAAGGAAAGGGAAGAAAAGGAGGAAAGTACAACTTGCAAAAGGGCCAAGTGGGCGAGTTGAGAAACCAAGTGTGGAGCTCGACCTTTTAGGGTCTTGTGTTACTTCTCCCCACTCTGAGATCTTACTGGGAAGCTGCTGATTGGTTTTAGGTGTTTTCCATTAGGACGCCATTGTTCCCTGACACCAGCTGTAACCAATGATGACTTTTGAGAAACACTTAACAATTGCCTGACCATCACCTAATGGGTCACCCAACACTCCTAGTGTGTGTGTGCAGAACAGGGGGAGACCTTTCTTGCCCTGCTCATACCTAACTAGCTACCCACTGTAACATAATTAACAAATCATCATCATGACTCTATTTCAGAACTTGGTTTTCTTTAATAATCCTCCACCTGCCACATTGAGTCAACTACTGGAGGTGATGAGCTGGCAGTTTTCATCGTACGTTGGTCGTGGCCTTAATTCAGATCAACTCAATATGCTGGCAGAGAAGCTTACAGGTGAGAGCTGGTAGATAGGGAGGATTTGCCTCAGTTTTTGGTACTCAAGCATTTTAAATAACGAGGATGCTATTACTACTATTAACAATGATGATGATGATCATAATTTATGGAATGCCTACTATGTTCCCAGGCACAGAGCTAAGTGCTATATTATCTTTGACTCTCAGAAAAGTCCTTCAAGGCTAAACTTATTCTATCAATTTTATAAGTGATTGTATTGGAGTGCAGCAGTTAAGTGACTTGCCATGGATGCATGGCTAGTACATAGCAGAAGCAAGCCACGGGCCAGACCTGTCCCGGTCCAAAGCCCCTCCCTGTCTATTCTTCACTCCAGTCTCCAGCGTTTGGAGGTCTATTCCCCACCCCGGTCTCCAGGCTATGTTTCCACTAAATATGATATGAAGCCTTAATGGTGCCTTGATCGTTCATATTAACATCTCAGTTGACATTAGCCAGCTGGAAAATGACTGATTCCTTCACAAAGGTCAGGAAATGTAATCGAAATTTTGAGACACCTGGGCAATACTTAATTCTGCATACCAAGAAGGTTTAAGCTTTGACTGAGATTTCTAAAGTTTGCAAACTAGAGTCATTGGTACTACATGAACCAACTATAATCCAAACTTTTTCTAAAAGAATTCTAAGAGAGCTGTATTTTGACAAGTCAGGGTTTAACATATTTAGCATCAAAAAGAGTTAAAATTAAATCTATATGCATTTCTAGTTAAAATACAGCCAAAGATCCATTTGTGCAGCAGAAGTAGAATCATGTGTGATTTAAGCTGGACTCACATGGTGCTGGGATGGTTGCCACTCGTGCCTACTCTTGGATCAATATGTACTTAAATAAATTAGGACTTCAGAAAATATGACAAAATTTACTTAATATAAATACATGTTTTGATCCTAATTTAATTCGTAAGCAGCAACAGTAGGCATTCAATAAATATTTGTTAGAGTGACTAAAGCTTTTAAACATGTAGTATAGATAGCAATCACATCCTTTCAGACCTTTATCAGATTATTCTTAGGAGTATAATTTCCCTAAAAATTTAGATGGAAACTCTTGCATCCTTTCACTGCTCTGGATCAAAACAGCCAATGGCTACTTATTGTCTAACAGATTTCTAGTCTATTTTTTCCATATCAATAGGCAACATTCCTGGTAATCTAGCTACACCTAACTTACACAAATGTGTTTTATAATGTTCATTCACCAACATTAGGCAGCTCTTCCTGTCTCCTATATGAGTCAGGTCCATGGTCATCATGCCTTGTCCTATATTATTCTTGCTCTCCTTCCTCTCCTCTGACAATTTATATTCTACCCACCCATATCCTAGATACCCACCTGCTTGCTAAACCATAGTTTCTCCACCAAAAATCTTCTTTTCTAGATAATAAATTTCTTAGGAGCAAGGATGATGTCTTATATTTGTACTGTTCCTAGCACTCAGTACACTGCAAACCCATATCAGGTGCTTAAGAAATGCTTGAAAGGGAAGAGGGGAAATATCTAAATTGAGCACAAAATTGAAGCATCTCATTGTTGGATGAAAAATCTCATTATTTTCTTTCATTTCAGTCCATTCTGGCTACACTGATGGTCACCTCACCTGGGCCAAGTTCTGCAAGGTACAAACAGGGGAGGAGGGACTCATTTCGATACATATTTTTAATACAATGTTCCTTTCTAAGTCTCTATATTACGACCTGGAGTTTTAAGAATTTCCCAGATAAGGATATTTTTAAAAGAAACTAAGGTGTTGTTCAGTTTAAAGAAAATATTTTATTGAAAAATTGACCTAACATTATTATTACTTAAATAATCATTGTCTTAAAGTGCTTGTTTATTCCTCTAGGAACATTTACCTGGTAAATCATTTACCTTTTGGACATGGCTTGAAGCAATATTGGATCTAATTAAGAAACATATTCTTCCCCTTTGGATTGATGGGTGAGTTATAGGCTATATTTTTCATATGAGTTAATTATGTTCTTTTTTTTCTGTTGTCATTGGTTTTCTTCTATTTCTTTTTCTCTTATCCATGTTTAGTACCATAGAAAAAAAATAGTTGCAACTTCTTATTCTTTGTGGAGTATCACTATGTATATTAATGTACATATAAGTACTTCAGATGTGAATGACTTTTGATTATACTCAAAACAAACTTTAGGTCTGTTCTTTGTAGATGCAATAAGTGATCAGATGCAATAATGATCAGATAAAATCATGCATGTTCTATTTTTAGGTTTGTCATGGGCTTTGTTAGCAAAGAGAAAGAACGGCTCTTGCTAAAGGATAAAATGCCTGGTACCTTTTTATTAAGATTCAGTGAAAGCCATCTTGGAGGAATAACTTTCACCTGGGTGGACCATTCTGAAAATGGTATATACTTACTAATGTTTATTCATGTGAAATTAGTTTTCTTAAATTTGGTTACTAGTCTTTCAGTTTTTGTGAATAATGTGTTGATCTGTTTGTCATGTGTTCAGTGGGTCTGAATATTTGTTGTTGCAGCTGTCTCAGAACAGGGTACCTATGAATCCCAAAAGCTCTATTGTATTAACAATCTATACTGTCCAGACAGCAGAAGGTCTGACATTGAAGTGATATGAACTGACAAGTCACTCCAGTGACATGAAGATAATGTGGGCAGGAAAAAATGGTCACAGGGAATGTGTACAGGAACCTGTGTATTTCTGCAATTTTTGTTTTTTAAGGGGAAGTGAGATTCCACTCTGTAGAACCCTACAATAAAGGCCGATTGTCTGCTCTGCCATTCGCTGACATCCTGCGAGACTACAAAGTTATCATGGCTGAAAACATTCCTGAAAACCCTCTGAAGTACCTATATCCTGACATTCCCAAAGACAAAGCCTTCGGTAAACACTACAGCTCCCAGCTTGGTGAAGGTTAGGTTCTTTTGTGTTTTTTTTTGGTTTTTTGTTTTTTGTTTTTTTTTCCTTAAGATTTTGGAAAATAACCTCATATTGGCGCAAAGTAAATGAAGTTCCTCTTTTTGTTTACTCTAATTTCTGTTAAGATCTAAGGAGCATACAGAGGTCAAAGCATTAGAAATGAAGTGGTATGTCAGCAGTTCCTGAAAAGGGACCAATGGGCTGTCTAACACTAGCAGAGTAATAAGCAGCTGCAACTAGACTTCACCATGGCTGTGGGGGCCTCTCACGGCCACTTGGAGAGCTTCAGTTTTCTCCTTCATAAGACAGAAGTGATGCAGACTTCATGTCTGTGACTAAGGGAAGGGAAAAGAAAGAGGGGATAATGATGAGAAGCTCGTAATAGCAAAGCAAGTCTGTATTTCGCAAAGGAACCCCAGGGTTTATAAGTTTTATATTTTTAACCTTACTGTGGTCTTACACCTCAGGGTATTTGTTCATTTTCCAAGGAGGGTATCTGTGGATCTGTGCTTCCTCCTCTCCCTCCTCCCGCACTCCCAGCCTACCTTTCCTGGTTGTATTCTAAGGACCTAGAACAATGCCTGGCCAAAACAGGCATTCAGTAAATATTATTCTAATACATAAAAGAAAATTCATTAAATTGCTGTGTAATTTTAAGGTACATTCACCATTCTGTTTCTTTAACGAAAGTGTATACAATCCATAAAAATCTTCATCTGTAGCAACTAAATCTCTGGGCACCATCGTGTAGAATATCCTACAGTTGTCACTCACAGACTGGCAGCCACCTGACTTCATGCCCTCTGAAATAAACAAAAATACAAAAGAAAATAAAAGCAAAAAACCGGTGGCTCTTCAATGACGTTCAACAACTAATCAAATGAAATAACAAATATCACTGCAACAAATTCAGATTGGGAAATTGGAACAAATACTAGTTCAGCATGGTATACCGGAGAAGTTTGGGGAATTTTTCCAAGGTGAGGTTTGCACATGACGGTTACTACAGTACAAAGATCCTTTCAGGAACACTGACGTCTGTACTTCAAAAATGTTTGTAATCATAAGGTTCTGATTGCTGTCACTTTTAATGAAAAGAACTGGGTTTTATCTCCCAAAACATGACTCAATCAGTCCTTATAATCAAACTTAAATGAAACAGAAGATAGGTAATATAGTTGATTCTCAATTTTTCCCACACAGTTCAGAGGCATTAATATGTAAAGTCAGATTAGGCCTGCCAAGAGATTTGTTTTTCTCTTCCTGCACATTTTATGCTTATCTGAAAGATTGTGTCCCCTATTTAACAAAACATTTTTGTGGATCACCGAACAACTGTATAATCTCTCTTCCTCTTAGCATTGCTAATATTTTTCTAGACACTTTTTCCCCCACTTTTATTGATAATATTGACATTTCCCCCCAACGTTGTGCCTTTTTTTTTTCAGTTTCAAGACCAACAGAAAGAGGAGACAAAGGTTATGTTCCTTCTGTTTTTATCCCCATCTCAACAATGTGAGTAATCTTAGTCACATGCAAAATTTCTTTTAGTAAATGCTTTCCTATAGGAGATTTAAAGATAGAGCAGAGTGCACATAACTGAGAGCAAGGCATTTTAGTGTTCAATATCCCATTTCCTGGCACACTTAGCACAATCTGTGGTGACTAGAATTATAAAATTCCCCTTTTACATGCCATATATTCCATAGCAAGTTGAATGTTCTGATATAAAATGAATTAGACAACTCAGTGTCACAAATAGATGAAGCCCTAGAAATGAGTTCCTGACACAGTAAGTCACCGTGAGCTATGATTATTTTTTAATCCTTGTCCACATTGACCTTGTTATCTCTTTAAGCCGAAGTGATTCAACAGAGCCACATTCTCCTTCAGACCTTCTTCCCATGTCTCCAAGCGTGTACGCGGTGCTGAGAGAAAACCTGAGTCCCGCAACAATTGAAACTGCAGTATGTTCCCTTTATTTTCCATTGCTGGTCAAAGTCATTTCCAATGATGCAAAGGTGGTGTGTGAATCAAAGGGGCTGAAATTCTGCCTGGGTAGGGAGAAAACACATGTTTTGGAACAAAATCATAAGCATAACACGAAAGATGTCTGGATGGTGTTGCTGATGTTATGGGTATTGAAAGCAGACACCTTCACTTACTTAAACTGCTTTAAGTTCTTCCCCTCAGAAACCACCAGAGGGCAAAATATTCCTATACCCTACTCAAGCACACTATCCCTACTTGCACCATGGGCCCTCTCATTCCCCACCACTCTCTACATTAGCAAACAACATTTATTGGTCATGATTTATAAACCTAGTATACTATCTAGCTTACTAATTACTTAATATCTAGTAAATCTAGTTTGCTATCTTAACAGGGCAAGCATCACAAATTGCAATTTTTCTTGATTATGACTTGCATTTCAAGAACCTGGAGCCTCATCAAGTAATATGTGAATAACAGTCAATAGCATAATAATGCTCTCCTTTTTGAGAATTGAGTCATAATCTTTAATGCAATAATGTTAGGATGCATCCTATTTACTCTTATCTGCCAATACTGTCAATGGATTCAAACCCCCAATTTACATGAAAGAGTAACAGAAACTTGGAGGGACTTTAAGCCTTAAAAAATTGTATTTGGCTGGTTTTTAGACCTTCTCTTGAAGATTTCCATAGATGAAAAATTCACTTTCCTTTATAGCTTATTCTATGTCAGTTCCCTTAAATCATCAAGTTATTTATGTCTAAAAGAACTTTTGCTACATTTTGTACCCATTGCATTGTGTTTTTGGTGGATGAACAGGCCTTTTCGTTAAAACAGTTTTCTGTCTACTTGAAAGATACCTTTGATTTTAGATTGATCGACCACAATTACTTTTGCAAATACTTAAAGTATTTTAACTAAGTAATAGAAAAATTATAATTAGTAGAAAAGAGGAGGTTTATTTACACATGAAATAGTGATTTACTTGCACATCAGTAGTTTCCTTAAAGATTATTTTCATTTTTAATTTTAGATGAAGTCTCCTTATTCTGCTGAATGACAGGATAAACTGACACACCAAGAAAGGAAGCAAATGAAAAAGTTTAAAGACTGTTCTTTGCCCAACGACCACATTTTATTTCTTCAGCTTTGTAAATATCGGGTTATAGGAAATGTTTGACATCTGAAGCTCTTTTCTCACTGTCATGGCACCCCCCAGTTGGGAGTGTTGTAACTGAAATGCTAGAAACCAAAGTTTCAGATAAACTTGCAAGATAAGACAACTTTAAGAAACCAGTGTTAATAACAATATTAACAGAAGACTTGCTTGCCTGTGTTTGGTTTATTTCTGATTTGTCTTTCTGGTGTTACTTATGAATTTCGCTAGAAAATGTAAATGTTAATGTTTCAGGGTGGGTCAAGAATAACAAAGTCAAACCTACACCTCAGCAGGAAGGCCTGAGGGAAAAGGCAAATAAGCCAGTCAGTGTGATGAGTGCTACCAGACACCGTGATCACAGTAGATCCAGGATGAAAATCATGATGGAACATAAGCAGAAACTCACAGGACATCCAGGGTTGAATTATGACGCCTCCTCAGTGCCATGTCAACATTATCCCAACTATGGGGTTCAACAGCTGCTGGTACCATAGGAGGAGGGATCCAGAGTCATTCCTGGCGGTATCTTGGGCAAATTGCACTGATTTTACAGGTGTTATAAGCAGACACATGGGTTAAAACAACAACTCATGAAATGAGGACTAGGAGAATAACAGCTCTGGCTACGGGTGACTGATTTTATTCATAGGTTGTTCATTCTTCATTTCTAGAAGAGGTTAGACTATGTGGGTTCTATGATCCTTCCCAGCTCTAATAGTCTCTCTGATCCCATGTATCCAACCTGAGACTTAGGAAAGAGGTTTAGAATGAGAAGTTCCATTCCTTCAATTTTCTCTAGTAAAGAGGAAGGGTAGGTGGTTTCCTGGATAGTAATACATGCGAATTGCAAGTCTATTTTGGTCCTTGCCTCACTCCGACTGGATGTTTAGTGGTGCCATTGCCCAGCTGCTGTCCTTAGTAATAGCATGGAGCCCTCCAATGCTCAAGACCTGGAGAGCTCTCTATGCCTGCTGAGCCCTGGGGATGCTGATGCGCCAGGTGAGGGAGTCATCTACTGAGGCATCTGCTGTGACCAGATGCAGAAAAATACAGAACCAGGTTTCCAAGGTGAGCCCTGACTGCCGAGTCAGAGAAGGCAGCCCCCTCTGAAGGGCTCTTATTTAATTCCTTCTGCCTACCTCCGGTCCTCCAGACAAACCAAACAGGTAGAAGCCAATGTTTGATGGAAAAGAGTTCAAGAGAAAAAAGGTTATTATTATAACCTGCCCTTTCACTTAGAGAGATTCCATCTGAGCAATCTCATCCCACCCACATGTGCCCAACTGGCTCCTAGATTGTTCCCATGGAACAAACTCTCCACCTGCCCCAAGGCCAGTTCCTTTACTCCTTTGTGAGCTCCCAAATGCTTTCAGGGTGAAGGCATCCGCTTGATGGAAGCGTTCATCTTACTGGAGGTGCATCCTCCCAGTCTCTACTTCTTTCCACAAAACCCAGTTTTCTAAAATTTGCCTGATATATATATATATATTTATATCAACTGGCAGCAGAATTGGATGAAATAATGTAAACCGGAGCATGACTATTACAGTTTTATCTTTAAAGAAGTAATTTCCTTCCAGGAAGTGCTCTTAAACAATTGGATTTAGACAATAAAAGATTGCAGACGCTCTTTGCTCCTTGGAATTTATCAAAAGTACAATGGACTCCTACCTATTTCACAGAAGTTTTAAAAAAGAAAACTTCTCAATATAGAGCCTGGTATGGTAGCAGAATGCCAAGGTTTTCTATGTGATCACAGTCATCCTTGTTATTTGGGGGTAGAAAATAAAGGACATCTGTAGCTCACTTTCTACAGTATGGACAATGGCCATGTTATAAAAGCTCAATGAGTGGCTATTTTTATTTAGATTCAGAAAACCAAAATTAATTGATCCCAGAGTTATTGACCCCATAATTACTGACCCCAGCTAACTGGGGTTAATTAATTGATCCCAGAGTTAAGAGTTATTTCCCAAAAGTGTGATTCTTGCGCTCTAAAAATCATTTCTGTGGGGGAGTCTTATTTCATTTTGTGTTGCTATAAAGGAATACCTGAAGCTGGATAATTCATAAAGAGGTTTATTTGGTTTTGCAGAGTATACAAGAAGCATGGAACCTGCATCTGCATGTGAGGCCCTTAGGCTGCTTCTACTCACTGCAGAAGGCAAAGGGAAGCTGGTGTTTGTAGAGATCACACGGCAAGGGAGGAAGCAAGAGACAGAGTGCGGAGGTGCCAGGCTCTTTATAACAACCAGCTCTTAGAAGAACCAACAGAGTAAGAATGCATTCATGTCCCCCACCATGTGAGGGTATTAATCTATTCATGCATCCTCTCCCATGACAAAAACACCTGCCATTAGGTCTTACCTCTAACACTGGAATCAAATTTCAACATGTGATTTGGGGAGACAAACATCCAAACTATAGCATTCCTCCTCTGGCCCCCCAAAACTCATGTCTTCCTCATGTTGCAAAATATAATCATCCCTTTTCAATAGTTCCAAAACTCTTAACTTGTTCCAGCATCAACTTGAAAATCCAAAGACCCATCTGAGACTCAAGGCAAATTCCTTCCAAGCATGAAACTCTAAAATCAAAAACAAGTTGTTTCTTTCCAAGATGTAATGTTGGTACACGTATTGGATAAACAGTCCCATCCCAAAAAGAAGAAATCATCTGTAAAAAAAGGAGCAACAGTACCCACACAAGTCCAAAACCCAGGAGGACAGATATTAAATCTTAAAGCTCCAAAATAATCCTTGACTCCATGTCCTGCATCCTGGATACACTGGTATGAGGAGTGGGCTCCCACGATCTCAAGGAGCCCTACTCCCAAGGTCACTGGCTGCTCTCACAAGTTCGAGTTGAATGTCTATAGCTTTTCCAGGCTGAGGTTGCACACTGCTGATGACTATACTTCTTGGGTCCTTGTAGCATCAGCCCCAGTCCCTTGGCTCCACTAGGCATTGCCCCAGGGGGACTCTCTGTTGTGGCTCTGCCCCTGCAGCAGACTTCTGCCTGAGCATCCAGGATTTCCTATACATCCTCTGAAATCCAGGTGGAAGCTGCCAAGCCTCCATGACTTTTGCATTCTGGGCACCTGCAGACTTAATACCGTGTAGACACCAGCAAGGCTTATGGCTTATGTCCTCCAGAGCTGCGGCATGAGTCCTACCTGGGGCCACCGAGGTAATGTGAGCCATGGCTGTGCCATCTGGAGTGGTGGAGATATGGGGAGCAGCAGACTGGTCACAGGGCAACAGTCTCCAGGCCTGTCCTCCCCTCAAACCATTCTGTCATCCTAGGATTCTGGGCCTGTGATGGGAGGGTCAGCCTCAAAGGCATTTGAGAAAAAGGCATTCTGAAATGCCTTCAGGGCCTTTTTCTCATTTTCTTAACTACTAACACCTGGCTCTGGTTTAGTCACAATAATCTCTTTAGCAATGGTTGCTCTGTAGCACCCCCAGATTCCTCACACCCTTGGATTCCTTGCCTAAAAATGCTCTTTCCTTCTCTAACACATGGCTAGCCCATGAAATTTCCAAATTTGTATATTTTGCTTCCCTTTTAATTACAAATTACACTTTTCAGTCATTCCTTAGCTCCCACAATTTAGCATAGGCTTTTAAAAGTAGCCACACCACTTCTTGAGTACTCTGCTACTGAAATTTCTTCTGCCAGATACCCTAGGTCATTATTCTTAAGTTTAGCCTTCTACAAAGTCATAGGGCCTGGACACAATACAGCCAAATTCTTTATTACCGTTTAACAAGGTGGCCTTTGCTCCAGTTTTCAGTAAGTTCCTCATTTCCATCTGAGACTTCGTCAACATGACCTTTAGATTTCTATCAGCATTTTGGTCACAACCACTCCATCAATCTCTAAGAAGTTCCAAACTTCTTCTGAGTCCTCCAAACTCTTCCAAACCTCTGCCTGTTACTCAGTTTCAAGCCACTTTCATATTCACAAGTATCTTTATCGCAACCTCCCATCCTCAGTGCCAATTTTCTGTCCTAGTCTGTGCTGTGTTGCTCAAAAGGAATATCTGAGGCTAGGTAATTTATAAACAATAGAGCTTTATTTTGCTCATGGTCCTGCAGACTGCAAGAAGCATGACACTGGTGCCTGCATCTGATGAAGGCCTTAGGCTGCTTCGAGTTATGGAGGAAGGGTAAGGGAACCTGGCATATGCAGAGATCACATGGTGAGAGAGGAAGCAAGAGGGAGTGGGGAAGGCACCTGGCTTTCTTTAGTAACTAGCGCTGTCAGTAACTAACAGAGTAAGTAAGGACTTACCTTTCCCACACCCAGAGGGTGCTCATCTATTAATGAGAGATCTGCCTCCATGACCCAAACACGTCACGTTAGGTCCCACCTCCAACATTGGGATCAAATTTCAACCTGAGCTTTGAGGAGACAAACATCCAAACCATAGCAGAGGGCAATGAGGTTTTGTCAGGGAAGTCCTGGGGAGATCTGTTTAGTTCAAGATAAGGTGTGCTACATGAGCAGAAGGTGCAACAGGAAGGGAATCTGGACCATGTTTTGACCAAACTCTACCCCAGAATATTTTTTTCTGCCTACTGTGACTTAGTCAGTTCAGGCTGCTATAACAAAGTACCACAGACTGGGTGGCTTATAAAAAAACAGATTATTTCTCACAGTTCTCGGGGCTGGGAGTCTAAAATCAGGGTGTCAGTCTGGTCTAGCTCTGTTGAGAGCCCTCTTCCAGGTTGCAGACTGTCAATTTCTCATTGTATCACAGGATAGAAAGAGAGCTAGAGAGTTCTCTGAAGTCTCTTTTAGAAGGGCACTAATCCCATTCTTGAGGACTCAGCCTCATGATCTAATCATCTACCCACCTCCTACTACCATCACTCTGGGGACTACCAATTCAACATACAAATTTTCAGAGGGGAACACAAACATTCAGTTGGTAACAAACTAGTAGCAAATAAGCAGTATTTAATGAAATTGAAACAAAACGTAGATTTAGTTTCACTTCTCCTTTCACCCATCCCAGATCAATCACAGATACACAGTTTGCTAATGACTTTTCAAATTTAAAAGATCACTTTAACCAACTGTACTATCAATGCCTTCATCTGTAATAAATGCTGAAAGAAGGCCAATGAATTTCATCAAAAACTAAGGTAGCAAGAATCCTACCCCACCAAAGCATCATAAAAAATGAATATACTTCCGGCAAATTCAAAGGATTCTTCTTTACTTCCACAGTTCGGGAAGCCCATGCAACTCCCCACAGTAAAAGAAAAAGAATTAAAGGTCAAGACATCCGAATACTCTGCTCTAGCAGTAGACAGAGAGTCCACAATACCATTTGGCCTCTGTGTGCACATGCTCCAATATCTGACACAGAGTAAAGGTATCTTTTTTTCCAAATTGACCAGGAACATTTATTGATTTTATTGATGTCCTTTTGAAAGTCTGGCTTATTGACATATAATTTACATACAGTAAAATTCACTGTTTTATGCATGTCAGCCTACGAATTCTAACAAACGCATATTGTTGTGTAACCACCACTATAAAGACAGAAGATTTCTACCAGAGTACTCACAAGGGGGATGCCATAAAAACATGGGGAAGGACATTCTCTGTTTCCTTACAGTAAAGACAAGAAGCAATTTTATGTAGCTTCATGTGTACACAGAGGGCTGTACTAAAATTGGATAATTTCACTCCCTACTTAAAATTTTTGAATGGTTCAGGATGCTCTGCATTAGCAGTTCTTGTCTGCGGTGTGCGGACAGAATTCAAGGGGCTCATGAATTTAGATGGCAAAGTTATGGTTTTATTTCCACAAACTTCTAACTACAGTTAATTTCCTTCAGTTATAAGGGCAGCAGACCATAACCCATACCACATTTATAGCACAATTATTAAAGTTATCTCAAAATATTGTTTATGCTAAGCACAATTTTGAAATTGCATTAATTGGACCCACTGCTAGATCCTGTTATTTAATGTCATTAGTAAATAAGCACTTGGCCAGGTGAAGTGGCTCACGCCTGTAATTCCAACACTGTAGGAGGCTGAGGTGGGAGGATCACTTGAGCCTCAGAGTTCAAGACCAGTCTGCGCAACACAGTGAGACCCTGTCTTTTATTTTCTTTTTTTTAATTAGCCAGGTGTGGTGGTAGGTGCCTATGGTCCCTGCTACTCTGGAGGCTAACTGGGAAGTCCGCCCAGGAGGTCGAGGCTGCAGTGAACTGTGCTGCCACTTCATTCCAGCCTGGGTGACAGAGTGAGACCCTGTCTCAAAAAAAGAGAAAAAAAAATCATTTACATTACTATATCACAAAGTTGGTTTTAATATATCACAAAGTTGGCTTGATACCAGCATCTCAATATAATTGGTTTTTTTTTAATCTTAGGCATCTTATCTATTCAACTAAAAACATTATTTTTTGAAAAACGCGTGGGTTTCATTGGACTGCTAAAGGGGTCCATGGCACAAAAACTAGGTTAAGAATCCCAGGCTTGGATAAAGACCATAATTCTCCAGATCTTTCCAAAGTCATGTATTATTTAGTCTCCTCTTAGTCTTCAGCGCGTCTCTCATCACTCCTCCCCACCCCAACAGCTTCTTATCCACCCAAACAACTGCACACAAGACTGACTGAACTACTTTCAGTTTCTATGATAATGTTCTCACCACTTCGCCTGCCACATCCTCTCAATTCTCCACCCTCATCCCATCTACCCCTGCACCTGGATAATGTTCATGCATTCTTCAGGCTCTGGAAAGCCTTTCTGCCAGACACATACACACACACACACACACACACACACACACACACACACACGTATGTGCATGCCTCAGATCATGCCATGCTTCCTCCATAGCAGCCTCTAGATCCCCAGCACAGTACACCTTTGGTGTAAATGATATCATCTGTTTTCCTCAATAGACTCCAAGCAAGCTCTGTTAGGCTTGAGACCAAGACAGCCCTGCGCACAGTTATATTCCTGGAATCTAGTACAATTTGGCCCTGAATAATTATTTGTTAATGATTTGGTGTTTGAACACATCTGAGGATGGTGATTCATTCCTTCCTTTCCTTTGCTCCTTGGGCTGCCTGCAGAACTAAGCTAGAATTCTCTTCAACTCCAAACTCTAAAATCATGAAACAGTCCTCAGTGTTATGCTTCATCCTGATTAACCAAAACACACTTGCCTTTGATCGCACAGAGGGGACTTCCTATCTCACCCTTAACCTCCAATAGACATTGTCTAGAATTACACTCTTTATCAGCTCACTCTAACTTCCCTTTGATTTAGGTATTATCTCAGGCATGCCTAACATCCTAGATATCTACCTACTCACAGATGAACCAAGTGTTCCTGAAATCGCCCCTAAACTCTCCATTAAACTCAAGGCCATTACTATGTCTGCCCCCGGTAAAAGTCCTCCACAACACTCTTAGGTTAGGCTTGACAGGTATCCTCTTAGATGTCTCATAGACTGCTGCAGACGGAAAGAACTCTGCCATCCAGAGAGGGCAGAGAGAGGGGAGAGGTTGAAAGGGGTGTGGAGGAGTAGAGTTCTCATTAAAAATCCTTTAGGGAAGTTTTTTTGGACTATGCCTGCTCATTATTCTCTCCCCTGCTCAACCGTGGCTCGATAGGTCTTAGAGCCAGTGCTGAGATCTGAATGTCTGAATTAACCTGTGATTCCTGATCCCATTGCTGGTCAATGATGTTCATTTATTCACTAGTTCAAAAAATATTTTTAAAATATTTTAAAATGCCTATATCAGGCCTTGCCTTGTTTAACCAGGGTTTCTGAACCACAAGACACAGAAAGCAATTTGCTTGATGATTTTCTCAGTTCTCCCAGGGATGGTATACAGTGCCATTCTAGATATACAGGAGTGCAGGGAATTCATTACGCATATAGATGCCCTGGAAAATTTGAATTGTCTCATGGAATCCTGGATGGAAAAGGCTGGGTAACACAGAACAAAGTCCCTTCTGTTGTGAATTTATACATTGGCAAGGAGAGATGAAAACAGACAAACAGGCTGGGCCCGGTGGCTCAAGCCTGTAATCCCAGCACTTTGGGAGGCCGAGGCGGGTGGATCACGAGGTCAAGAGATCGAGACCATCCTGGTCAACATGGTGAAACCCCGTCTCTACTAAAGATACAAAAAATTAGCTGGGCATGGTGGCACGTGCCTGTAATCCCAGCTACTCAGGAGGCTGAGGCAGGAGAATTGCTTGAACTTAGGAGGCGGAGGTTGCGGTGAGCTGAGATCGCGCCATTGCACTCCAGCCTGGGTAACAAGAGTGAAACTCCGTCTCAAAAAGAAAAAAAAAAAGAAAAAAAAATAGACAAACAACAAACAGGGACAGATGTTACAAGTGTTAAGAGGATTGCACATGTGACTCAGTCACTGGAAGAAGGAATCAGTGAGGGTGTCTTTTAAGGGATGATGACTGAGCTGAGACCTAGAGAATGTGAAGAGGGCAGTCCATGAACACGGCCAGGAAAAGAGCATCCCAAAAGAGCAGTGTTATGTATGCACAGGACTCAGGCAGGTAAAAACCTGGGGTATCTGAGGAACAGAAAGAGGCCAGGGGAATGAGGGGAGCCTAGTGAAGTATGGGGAGAGTGAAATTAGATGAGTGAGAGGGGTAGGGGAGACCAAATTGTCAGGCTCTATAGGGAACGCTAAGGGCCGCGGCTTTTATTGCAAATGCAACAGGAAGCCAGCAGAGGCTTTTACACAGGTGACTGGTGTTATAAAATCTGTTTCTTTATTGAAGTGATCATCAAACCAGGTTCCTACAGAAATGCCCCCCAATTCCCCACCTAGGTCTGACTTGCACAGGGCAGGCCACTAAGAAGGGCTCCATGCTTGGCTTCATGCTCTCCTGTTGCTTTCTTGAAATTCTTAAATTAGTTTTGAATAAAGGCTCCCACATTTTCATTTTGCAATGTGCCCTACAAATTATCCAGCTGGTCCTGTGTTCTAACAGGGGAAAACAAACGTCTATTTGCATAGCAGAACTCTGGACCTTAGGATGTTGTTTGTGTGCAGCCAAGGGGGCTGGTCCTCACTCTCACAAGAGGCTGGAAGTTGGGAGCCAAAGTGGTCGTCCCTTTCACACACTGGAGGTTCTAGGTGGGTGCTGGGTTCACCCTAAGAAGGCAGAGCCCCTTAAGAGTAGGCGAACAGAGCCCAAAGAAATCCAGTCTCGTGCCTCATAGAAGCATTGGGTAAAGTCACAGACATTACACAAAATTATGTTTCCCGGGCCAGTCGAACTTTCGAAATCATTGTCCAGTAACTAAGCATTCTCCATTATACTTCTCCCACTTTTCTTCTGGTATAATCACCATAACTGAGAAGGCACGGGGGCGAGAAGACCCCAGAAGAAAGAGGCAAGCCCCACGCAGACCGAGCCTAAGGACGCCTACAGACACTGCCAGCCCACCACCACACAGGCTGGCTGAGGGTCAGAGCTTACCAGACAGGAAAAGATCTGAGTTAGTGCGAGTGCAAACTGTGTAGATAGCCAAGTGAAGCGGGTAAAAAGACCTTTTCAGGACAAGGAACGAAAGAATGAAACGTTGGAAGTGGATGAGCAAGGTTTCCAGCACCTTAGGTGCGGAAATCAGCAGACGTTCTCCTCCCTCTCTCTAAGGTGAGATGGCAGCCACCCGCGCCTCCGCCTTCCGTCGTGTGCAGGGCTAACACTCGCGCGTGCGGGTCCGCGTGGACCAACCCCTCTGGGACCCAGTCCCGCAAGCCAATATGCAGCCCCAGGGGAGCGTGCGGACAAAGTGGGAAACCACGGTGAGGAAGTGGGGCGGGCTGCCGGAAAGCCCCGCTGCGCCTGCGTACTGCTCCCTGCAGCTCTGACTTTCGCTTTTCGGTTTCCTCTCAATCCCTCTCCTTCTCGCTCCCCGGCAGTTTCCCCGAAAGCACGTGGGGCGGCTCTTCCGAACACTGGCGTCCCTCCCTCCGCGCGCGCCCGGCCAGCTGTTTCCGAAACCGTTCAAACTGCCCCACGCAAAGCCAGCAGCCGGGCCGGGCGGGATCGGGCTGCTTTCCCTGGGTTCTGAAAGCAAAGGCTCCTAAGTGTTCCTGAGCGGGTTTTAACCATGTATGTAATAGTGCTCATGGTAAACATTAAAAATAAATTATATACAAGTAATATATTACCCGGAAACATTAGCATTTTAGACTATTTTTACTCCCTCTTTCTGTTTCCATTTATTTACATTTCTATATATTATTACAATAATAGGATAATACTGTCTATGTTTTCTTTCCATCATTTTCATTTAATTTTATACGTGGATATTTTCCAATGTGGAATTAAACAGTCTTTGAAAGCCTAACTTTGATATTCTACTATATGAATTGTGCTTAACTGTCAGTTGGAAAATTAGGTTGTTTCTGATTTTTCACTTATAAATGAAGCTGCTATGAACACCATTCTGCATAAATCTTTCATCTATATCTGATTCCTTCCTTATAGCAGATTTCTGTAAGTTCAAGAATATTATGAAAACTTCTAAAAAAAAGATTATGTTCTCTACATTATAATCATTAATAGAATTCTGGTCCATGTGTTATTCTTCCTTAAGGTGAAGAACAGAGCTTGCTTGCATATGGCCATTTTCCTATAAGTAGTCATAGCTTTCCTCTATGTTGGGATGAAATATGTCATGTACATACTGCGATTTTGTTGAAACCATGATATGCATCCCTGCATTTTAATCAGCTGCTACATAGGAGGTCTCCTGTACTTATTAACTGGGGAAAAAATACACACACCAAGACAAGTAAGTGATGGTACAAAACCCAAATCCAGAGAACTACAAGGAATGATAGAAATCCTTTATTTCAATTCTGTTGTATTACAGATTAACAAATACAGTTTACACTGATGAAGTGACATTCACAGTAGAATAGCAAGCCTTTCAAAAGGAGGAGAGGTGAAGCGGCATTGACTGGAAGTTTAAGGAATTCCTACTATCTGATATTTAGCTTATTATTACAAACATTGGAAAAATATAGATGAAATGCAAAATAGTAGCTGGAAGGAAAATCTCTTAACACTTTACTGTAGATTGGTTCATCAGATTTGTAGCTGTCATTTTGAAATAGATCAAGGCTGTAAAAGAATGAGCACAGAGCCAGTAGGTTTTTGTTTTTGTTTTTGTTTTTTTAAATAGGAATATGGTAAGGACCCAGATAAAGTATTCCTTGAGGATGAGAGATTCCAGGCGAAATTCCCACAGTTGGGAAGGACAATGGACCCATCCCACTTAAGTAAGTTCCACTTACTTGTTTTAGAATTCAGTTGTAGGATGTTTTGCTTCATCTCATAAATTCTTTATAAGTGATCTACTGCTACATAACAGATGAAACTACTCCCCAAACTTTGGTAAAACATCAACCATTTATCAATGCTTGTGAGTCTAGGGTATGCTGGGAAGTTCAGTTCATCTGGGTCAGGCCCACTTGATCTTGCTTGGGTTCTCTCATAAATCTGAGGTCTAAACTTGAACAACTGCTCTGACTCAACTGTGATATGTGGAGTCTCTCATGCTCCTGCAAGCCAGCTGGACTTCTCATGGAGGCTGGGCAGAGTTCTGAGAGTGGAGTATATAAGGCGTCTTGAGTCTAGACTCCAAATGTCACAATGTCACATCTGCTGCCGGGCAGGTAAATCACAGAGCAGAGAATAATGTGGTCATTGTTGAAAATAATTTATCAGGAGAGCCTTCTTACTTTCAATTTCATTTAATGAGAACTACATAACTGATATCTTTTCGCCTTGGTTTGCAGGCTCCACTGTATTCTTTATTTAGTTATTGTAGATATTTCTGTCCTAAGTTGCTTTAAATGTTTTGTGCCCCAAGGGAGGTATAACTAAGTAAATACAACCGGATGATTTGGGAATGAAAGGAACTGTGAGTGAAGAATAGGAATGATACTGTCTTTTCTCCAAGCAAAAATAAATTTCCTCCTAATGGGAAGTGTGGAGTAGTTCATAAGTCTTTCTACTGTAACATCATGTGAATTATGAGTTGTTCCCGTGACTTCAGTTACTCATCATATGATATGGTTTCTGGATTCCTCACTGTCCTTGATTCTCCTTTGTCTGTACTGGTGAGTTCAGGGGTGGCAAATAGTAAATTTCACATTACCTTTTGTTTCTGATTGATTGTTGGTGACCAAGTGTACCCTGTCATTTGTTGCTCTTTTAAATCCAATACAAGTCATTGCATTTATTGTTTTAAAGTTATCCAGTTGATGGGAGGTTGAGACAGGAGAATCCTTTGAATCCAGGAGGGGGAGGTTGTAGTGAGCCAAGATCTCGCCATTGTACTTAAGCTTGGGCAACAGAAGGAGACTTGGTCTCAAAAAAAATAAATAAAAGTTATCCAGTTGAGGGCGGGCACAGTGGTCCACACCGGTAATCCCGGCACTTTGGGAGGTCGAGGCAGACGGATCACTGGATGCCAGGAGTGTGAGACCAGCCTGGCCAACATGGCTAAACTCTGTCTCTACTAAAAACAAAAAATTAGCCAGGCTTGGTTCCGTAGGTCTGTAATCCCAGCTGCTTGGGAGGCTAAGCAACGAGAATTGCTTGAACTCATAAGGCGGCAGTTGCAGTGAGCCTAGATTGCACCAATGCACTCCAGCCTGGGCGACAGAGCGACACTCTATCCTAAGTAAATAAATAATACCCAGTTGGTTTCAGACCAGCAGCAGCAGCCTGTTAGAATATTTAGGTAATTTAGAGTTTTGATTTAGCGTGGGTACCTGAGGTATGCTGTCTCCTAGCACAGGGAAGAAGAATACAAGAACAAGTTATCACAAAGAACAGGCAGTTTCAGGTCAGATGGTGTATACATCACACTGCCCATATTCCTTTATCCAGAACAAGTCATATGGCCAGTGTCAGAGTTACAGCACACAGAGAGGTATATTCTACCCTTAGTGAACCATCCATGGCAAGGGGTAGGAAGGGACAGAAAAGATTCAAAAATAATATAATCTACAGACATATTGTTAGCTGTTTTTTTCTAGTTTTATGTCTTTTGCAAGTTTGACATTGTTGATATAGAGATATAGCTTCCCAAGTTGACTGTTATAAGGTGACTGTCACATATTTGTATCTGTCCAATTCTGGATTTCTAGGTTTTTGTTTGATTTTAGTTTCATTGCTTTTTGAAGCAGTCAATATGTTATGTAGTAAAAAATAAAATATAAACAGTTTATCCTCCAGGAACTTTGAATCTTGGAGGCATAAGGATTGGACACTTCAAAAACTATAATGTTAGGGAGTGTATAGTTTTTGTCAAAATAAATAGAGACATATGTATTCTTTGGTTATTCAGAGACCCCAGATTGATTGCTACAGTTTGAGGTGGTTCTAGAAAGAGAATATAGTATTTGGGCTGGGCTTTCAGAGGTGGGTAAGAATTTGGTAAGCGAAGAGAGTCAGGGTCAAGATTTGCCATTTAGTGTGTGCAAAGGGGCAGAAGTCAGGAAATTAAAAGCATGGGTGGAGCGTTGGAGATAGACAAGGTTAGTTGGGAAATGGGACAATGACAGAAAAGTCTGAAAAGAAGAAAGGGACATTTTGTGGATGATCCAGACGAGCAGACATTTGTGTTTATCATAAATGCAAGGAGAGTTGTTAAGGCTTTTGAGCAGGGAATGACTATATCAAGGCAGTACTTTAAGAAATTTAATTTGGCAAATATAGTGAAGGAGAAAGAGATAAAAAAAGTAATATGCCTAGAGGTTAGCATAGCATTCCAATTCTCCACTGATGAAGGCCTATGGTAGGATATTGTCAGGAATGCTAAA